CCTGCGAAGATGACATTGACATTGAGACGACAAAGTGGTGACGTGAATTTTGCAGATTGCTTTGATAAGGTGAACATTTTAGCAAAATGAATGTAGTTTTATTTAACACAGCCGACATTATGGAGTCGGACTGACCGACCGGCCGATCCACGCCACAAGTGATTTCATAATAGACCCCTCCACATAAAGTGTTAGGGAGTAATAATATATTCAGCACTATAGTGTTTGAATTTTGTAAAATAATCAGAATTGTTTGATTAAAAAACAAAAGTTTGCAAGATTAAAAACATTAAAACGAGGAATTTTAATAGAATGTTTTAACTTTGATATGGTGAAAAATAAATGTAGCTTTTCTTTTTGTTGCCTGTGTACTCATTTTATCATGCCGAATCTGTATTGTAATAAATTAGCTCATATATACTATGTTAAGTTTTGTTGATATCTGACTACATGTAGTTTGAACCACTGTTATTATGGAAATAACTAATCAGAGTATTAATATTCATACGCTGGGAAAGAAAATGTTTGTATAAGATAAATATATATAAGAATAAACTGTAGGTAAGTTCATGTGAAATAGCAAAATTTAGGATCTAACATTTCCACGGGGTAGGACCTTAATCATCTAAATGAACATACAGTTAGGTTATGGTCATATATGTTATACAAGTATTGAAAGACAACCCACACACTTGTTGATATGTAACGAGTGAATTGCCGACATTAGTCATAGAATTAACGCTTGTATTATGTACATGTTGTTTTTATAGATGAAATATTGAGAAATATTGATTAAAAAATGCGTTTTTTCATTTTCCGTATTTGCACTGTAAAAAATTATTTTTCATTGCAGTGACATATTATAAGTATTTTTACTGGAGTCTTGCCGGACTACTTTCGCCTAAACTCTGCCCTTACACAAACTTTAAGGGAAAGTTTTCCAAATTGTAATGTCAAAATTGAGAAAAATGTATATAATAAACAGATAATTCATTTTTTTTCTATAAATACAGGATTTCTTTCATCTTGTAATATGAAAATTATGATATTTCACTATTGGCTACAGCCACTCATGAACTATTTATTTTCATGAAAATAAATCCTATACTTATAGAAAAACTTGAATATCCTATTCTCGCTTAAACGACCGAGCTACATGATTAATGTCTAACCCCTTGATTCTGTTAATCGTGATATATGATTATACTTTTGTCCATTTTTTGCAACTTAATACTAGTACCAAGTGATAATTCTGCGAATGAGTGAATAATGAAACTCATTAAATATACTACTCAACTTTTGCTAAGCACCATATGTTTGAGTGGGAATATTTTTTGGGATAATTTTAAATGTTTATTTACAGTTTTATCGATTCAGCTGAAAGACAAAGACAAATTTCACCCCATCAATGAGTTTTACACTGATTTTGTTTTAAAGAAGAAGATGCCCCCTTTTTCGAAACATGCAGCTTGTTTTTCAACTTTGTGAAATTGTTTTTTGTTTTCGGATTTAGACTTAATCCCGTCTGTGTGACCCGTCTATCAATGACAGCTTGACAGCGCATTCTCATACTCCCTATTAGGTTCCTGATCGTTCTAACGGGTATGGCTGCCCATTCTTGGACGAACATGGCTCCAAACTCCTGGGTGCTCCTGGGGTACAGCTAAAGCGATGAAAATCTAACCTGCAGCTAATTCCACATGTGCTTTATTTGATTTAAGACAGGAGAGCGCACTGGCCTGTCCATGCGCTCAATAGACTCCCTCTCTAGGGAGTCCTGGCCCTAACTGGGCGACCACTATCGTCCATTAGAATGAACTGATCGTCGGCTGCTCCAGCATACAACCTAACTTGGTTGTCTAAGATATTGTCTATGTATCGCTTACCTGTCAATGTCCTTCTATTAAGCACAAGCAGATTGGTTCGGCAATCTTAGCTGATGTCTCCCCACACCATAACTGACCCATCTCCGTTGTGATCATGCTCAGCAATATGTGCAGCCTGAAGTCGTTCACCTCGTCTTTTCAAGACTCTAGTACGCCTATCTGTGAAGTCTATGCAGGTCCTGGACTCATCAGTGAACAGATCGTGTCTCCAGTGTTGCATGGTCCACTGTGTAATCTTCATGGCCATTCTGAACGGGCATGGCGATGTCGATACGTCAAGGGGATTCGTATGCAAGGATTTCTCGACAGAAAATTACCTTTATGTTGCCTTATACGTACCGTCTGCATAGAAACACGGACAAGTTCAGCATAAACAAGGTCAAATCGAAGATAAGTTGCTGACGAAAACTTTGCACGACGTGCCCGAACGACCAAAACCTGACCCTGAGCTGGTGCTTCAACCTTTTGCCGACCTCTAGCATGCCTCCTTGCTGGTGTACCATGTAGCCAGTATCTCTGCCAGGTTCTGGTGATGATGATATTGTGTATACCAAGCGCCACGCCAACCTGGCGGAATATGGCGCCCTGCTGCACCATCCCAACAGCCCTTCATATTTCTGCTTCTCTCAAATGCCGCCTTATGTTGGCATTCGCCATATCGAAGTGACAGTTGTAAGAAATGTAAGTCACTGAATGACAATAAGCCCCGTAATGTCGCCGTATAACAAACGCATGTGATTTTACACCCAAACAAAATAAGAGGCCGTCAAAGACGGATGATGCTCCCCGATTGTGCACTTTGTAACAAAAAAAACGGTTAGTTGCACCCCCGACAAATATTGTTGCGCCCATATATATGTAACAGCACACATGCATGCAAGGTAAGTTTATTTGTGTCTTACCTGTCTATCAAATTATTCCATGCTCTCATCATTCCTTCTTCTTGCAGACCACTGAAACTGGCTATGTAAGTTACACTACTTAGTAAAATGCAGTATAGTACACACAGAGCCAAACAATGGGCAAGGTAACGACCCAAATGTTGCGCGCGACACGTCATCCCAATATGGTGATCATTCCTGTAAAATAGTTGTAAAATCCGACTTCAAATAACGAAGTAATAGGCCGGACATGATTTTGATTCAAGGTCATGCTGTGACCTTGACCTGCAAGGTAGCTACCCAAATCTTACACGCGACACGTCGTCTCAATATGATGATCATTTCTGTGAAATAGTTTTAAAATCCGACTTCAAATAACGGAGTTATGGGCCGGACACGATTTCGCTGCAAGGTCATGCTGTGACCTTGACCTTCAAACCAGTGCCCGACACGACGTCTCAATATGGTGATTATTTATGTAAAATAGTTATAAAATTCAACTTCAAATAACGAAGTTATGGGCCGGACATGAATTCGGGACGTATGTACGGACGGACTGACGGACGGACGGACAACCCGGCGAATTTTTTCGGGGAGCATACAAATATGAAACGATTTGGGTGCATGATTTCCATGCTACCTAGACGAGTTGCAACGGATAAGTCAACACGGATTAATGACAGGGGACAATCTCAAAACATTGCTGAATCAGAATTTTTAAAAATTGGAAAGAGATCTGTTTTATCCTCGTTGTATAAAAGTTTTATAAAATAACTTATGGTGCTTAGTAAAATTCCGGTAGTATGTGAAATCGTTTTATAAGCATAAAACGAGTGATAAGAAATAAGAACGTTTTCTTGTTCATCCGACCTTTATAAGTCGAAAGTGACATTTTTTGGTATATATTTATTGATCTTTCTAGGTAGGAAGTGATATTACCGTATTCATATTTTTACCTTTATTGTCGGAGGTGACATTTTCTTGTTTACATATTGATCTCTATGGATCGGAGGTTACATTTACTTATTTATATATTGACCTTAATTGGTCGAAGGTTACAATTTCTTGTTCATATATTGATCTTTATTGGTCGAAAGTATTTTCTTGTTTATATATTGACCTATATTAACCGCAGGTGATATTGTTTGTTTATACATGTATATTGACCTTTATAAGTTGAAGGTGATATTTTTTTGTTCGTATATTTCGGAGGTGAAATACTTTCTCAGTTAATATTAAAAAAATGGATCTTTTTCAAAGCCGGGATGTCTGATAAATACTCCTGTAATTATGCGTAAACAGTGTTTCATACGGGAAAATAAGCTGTTAAGTGTGAAAGGCGGATAACAACAGGCGGATAGCAACATTATATTGCTTATGATATATTTTTCTTAGAAAGTTCTTTCAGTAGATCTATATATACTGCTTCAGAGTATTAAGCGAATGTTAATACTGTTATTTCAGTGTGTATACTTAGAATTTTATTAACAGGTTTTAGAGTATAAATAATTATGTCTGTATTTAACTTTTAATGTGAAAGGTATTTTCAGTATATTAAAAAAACGTATTTCAATTTTAACATTTGGTTCCATGCAATATTCCTTTTATACAATATGATATCCATTGTTAACAACATAAAAACTAAATAAAGGGTATTTAAAGATAATTCTTCAGATTCAAATGCACTAACAATGCATATGAAAGGCAAAACATTATCAATTATATGTGATTGTTGCAAAAAACTTTGTTAACCTTTGTTTTTTATTTAAAATATTGACGTACAAAATAGTAACGTAATTATCTAAATCGTTCAAATGTTATCATGCGGAAACGGAGGTTAACAATAATTTTACGCATTTAATCCGTCGTGGCCGAAACTTAAGGTGAACAATTAACCACGAGAAAAGTCTTAAATATATTCAATATGCCTGTAAAACTGAAGTACAATAATAAAATAACCCTGAAGCGTGTTATTATACATGAACAGTGTTTCATACGGCAAATAAGTTGTAAAGTGTGAAGACGGATAGAAACATTAGGCTTACTTATGATATGTTATTCTTGGAATGTTCTTTCAGTGTCTATACTTAGAATCTATTAACTGCTTTAGAGTATAAAGTGAATTTAAGTAAATAATACTTTAATTAGTTGTGAATTGATAACAACTTTATTAAAGAAAATTGTAAAATAATTATGTCTGTATTGAACGTTTTATTGTATAAAAAAATCTGTATTAACTTGATGGAGCTACCCTCTCTGGTCTTCTCTGACTTATGACTTGTGGCAACATATCATATTCCTCTAAGAAAAATGTATCACTAATTAACAGTTTTATTTAACACATGTATATAAATATAGTCTCACATTTTTGATTTCAGATAACGACAAAGATCTTTTGGTGAAAGTAATAGACATGATATATAAAGAAGCTTGCCAATCAATGGAAGTGCTGTATTTTCAAACGTAAAATGATTTTGCGCAGCAATTGACATAGCGATTCAACGTACTTCTCAAATTGCTTATTTATAGCTAGTGAAACATTACATTTTAAAATGAATATTAATAAAAAGAACTGCAATATACACTTAATTAATAGTCTTTGAATTTTGTTCAAAATATGTTGAAAATAACATTGATGAAAGGGACAAAACCAGTTCAATATTACGTTTCTTGCTATTTCAAATTTCAAAAAGCTACAGCCAGTATAAAAGTGTTATATTGTAAAATTGATAAAGAAATAGAAAGATACGATAGTAATTATATAAATATATGTATTTGAGGAATCACACAATTCTTGAGATAAAAAGTACTTACCAATGTTCTTTCTCTGAAAAGGAAAACAAACACATGTAAGTATCATGTAAGAATCATGTGTATAGAGGTTTTTAGTGTTATAACCACTGGGTTATGTTTATTTCACTTCATTGCAAAAAAAACAAGCAAACGAAAAACAAATGAAAAACAAACAAGTGCATGTTTTGTAAAAAGCTAAATCACTGATTCCTTATGTGATATACAAGGTATACTTAGGCAATCATACATTTACAAATTAAAATTTATAACAGTACCATGTATTACAGAATAAAATATTGATTAAACAATGTAGTAAAAACCTGAATTGACATGTTTTTCATTTTGTCCCCTCAAAGCATGTTGCAAAATTAATAAATATTTATATCCAACATGCCTTTAAATGGTTTTAACAGAGTTTATTGGAAATGAAATGTATGCCATTGTGAAAATTGTACAACTACACAGACATATGTGCTCCATACATTACAATCTGACAAAAGGCATACTGCACTATCGTAGACAATGAATACATTCACGGAAAAATGCACATGAGAGACATAACACTCAATTATAAGTGATTGTTGAGAAAATCAAAGTTCACCTTTGGTTTTCTTTTTATTCAAAATATTGTCATACTAAATAGTAACGCAATTATCTAAATCGTTCATATGTTATCATCATGCAGAAACGAAGGCAAACAATTATTTTATGCATTTAACCTGTTGTGGTCGAGACTAAGGTCTATGATATATCTGACTGACACCAATTAACTATCAACAAAGAATTATATATATTAGATTTGCCTGTTGGCATTCAACATTATTGCAAAAAGCAAGTACATGTTATAAAAAAGCTAGATGACCTTATATCTCGTGTGATATACATTTTAGGCAATAAATCATACAAGTGCATATTAGAATTTATAATAGTATCATGTTTTAAATTTCTTGTATTACCATTTATGCAATATACATTGTTTACACATCACACAAAGACTAAAAGGTGTTTGAAGAATCAGACTATTCTTGTGATTAAATTGTACTTAGAATGTATTTTCTCTGGAAAGGAAAACAAACGCACGTAAGTATCATGTAATAAGCATGTGTATAAAGGTTTTCACTGTTTTAACCACTGGTCACTTCATTGCAAAAAGAACGAAAAAACAAATAAAAAACAAACAAGTGCATTTTATGTTAAAAGCTTAATCAATGATACCTTATGCGATATACATTTTAGGCAATCATACATCTACATATTTACTTTCATAACAGTATATATATTATGCAATAATTGACAAGTGAGCCATTTAATATGATGTGATATTCACCGGAGATGACATATTGACAAAGGCGATAGCCGAGGTCAATATGGAATTCTTTCGGTGAATATCACATCATATTAATGGCGCACTAGTCAGTAATCGTTTTATTATATGAATAGGCAAAGATGTAAAAGCACATACAAAAAGTAAAGCCTTTTTAAGGAAATACATAACACAACGTTTGCATGTTTTCATTGAAGCGCGGGAAAAAAGACGCACCGTAAACAGGGTGACGTCAGGCGTTCAACGACTACACGAACGCTGCGCAAACAAAAGTAATTCAGATTTATACGCATCATTACGGTGCAGCTTTACTATTATAGGAAAGTAATGATAATTTAATCGAGAAATATCACATAAATAAGTAAACACAATACTTATTATTTTCATTTGCACGCTTAATTAACAGTCTACGATGTATGGTCATTGAATACGAGTCTCAAGTCTATATTTAGATTTGGAAAATCCAACTTATAGCCCAGTGAATATGATTTTATAAATAGTTCCGTTGACTACTGTTTAGACCAATGGGATTGCTGTTATATTTAGATCATATAATAATACAGAATAAAATATTGATAAAACGATGTAGTAAAAACGTGAATAAACATGTTTTTCATTTTGTCCGCTCAAAGCCTATAGCAAAATTATAAATATCCAATTTGCCTTTTAATGACATTAACCGAGTTGAATTGAAATGAAATGTATCCCATTAGGAAAATTGTACAATTTACACAGACATATGTGCCCATACATTACAATCTTTCAAGAGGCACACTGTACAATCGTAGGCAATGAATAATTTCATGGCAAAAATGCACATGAGAGGTATAACACTCAATTATGAGTCAAACTAAATTGTAACGCAATTATCCAAATTGTACATATGTATGTTATCATCATGTAGAAACGAAGGCAAACAAACTATTTTACACATTTAACCTGTTGTGGTCGAGACAAAGGTCAATGATATATCTGACTGACACCAATTAACTATTAACAAAGTATTCTTTATATTTCATTCGCCTGTTGAAATTTAGATACAATAATGCAATAAAATAACATTAAACTAAATGTTTAAATAATAATTAAAAGCACATAAACAAATATGAATTTTTTATTGATCTAACTTTATTTTGTCAGTAAAACCTCACAAGAGTTTCAGCAAATGTATGTATTAAGTTGTCTTTATATTTTTCTCAGCAATATAATATCAATAGTATCTGTAGCTTTAAAAGAATCGCTTACCGGTGGTATTGTCCTCGCTGTCGTCAGATTCAGGATTTAGACCCGAATCATGCACTTCTTCGCCACAGTATACGTGTACAGAACTGTCAGCAATCTGTTGTAATGATTTAATAAAGATTACCAAAAATATTAAAGCAAAATTGTAAATAAGTAAAAAAGCTGAAACAAATAAAACAAAATTGTATAAATGTATCAAAACATTAAAAATAACTGGGAAGAAAATAAGAATCAAAATGATTTTTATTTTATTCGTTTGTTGTTATAAGATAATTATACAAGTGTGATGAACTAACAAGAGAGTTGTTATACAAACTCAATGAAGCGATTCAATTTCTTAAGTACTACAAATGAAATATCTACATCTTAAACTTTGAACTGGTTATTCATTGATCTCTTAATTGTAAATTGTAGAATAAGATACAACGATCAATAAAAAGTAAAATATCACGGGTGATTGCAATTTGTAAATATGACGCACCTCTTGTATCTTTCCAGCTGCAGTCTGAGCATCTTTATCATGTGCTAGAAACATTGCATCATTTAAGATAGATAGCATAAGTTTCATGTACTCCTGCAAGTCTCTGTCTGTAATGCTGTAACCTGCAGAATGAAACGTCTTGTTTCTGATTTCTCTCATCTGAAAACAAGTGTCATTTTTTCAGATTTTAAAATTGCAATTTAATAACAAGTCTAATTTCATATAGAAAAGCATCATTTTTTTTCATTGACAGAAAATAAAATAATGATATGTAATATATGAACAAAAGTTACAAATAACATTAACCAAGAAGGCCATGAAAGACCTTAAAAGCTCGCTTCAATACCTGTTTCATGTGAACACACACTGCCTGATCGTTAACCTGAGCAAACGGTTATCTCCATTGCCTTATTATACGATAGTGTAGAAGAAACTTGAGCTTTGTATTTGCCATGTTAATCAATGTTTCTTACTTTTATGGACTTTACAAAAAAGAATTTCATCAACATGGTAATTCATATTTTTCATAAGGGATTACAACCCTTAATCGTATTACATTCAAAAATTATTATAGAGATCATTTAAAGGATTTTAAAACATTTCACGAATAAATTAAAAGGGTTGAAATTGAAAAATATCGAAATTTTGTAAAAAATATACTAGTCTAATTATAACAAATGAAAATATTGATAGAAGTTTCATTTGATTTGATAAATTTGCATCAAAGGTACTAAATACTTAATAATAAAGTTTGATGGTTTAAAAAATGTATGACATTTAAATAAAAGTGTAGACGAAGCGAACTTACAAAGGAAAATGAATAATATCAATAGTTCATGGTGAGCTCATAACTTAGTCTGATGGGCTATATGTTACATACCTTAACAAAAATGTTATCTGGTGATCCTAGGTCTGCTGCTACTAGGGACTGGAAGGATTTGCAATTAATAATCACTGATAGCAGTCCAGCGCAATCTGTCTCTTCAACTGTTTCGATATCTTGATATCCATCAGTCGGGATAAAACATTTCATAATTTCGAAAGGGTTTTGGAACCACCTTCTTGCATCAGTGTTTTTGAAATTAGGTGAATGAAATCTATGGCGTGATTTTATTAATCGGACAATCAGTTGCAGATACCTTTCGGGCAAGGTTTGCTTGCCTTCAGAGGATCACTTACATCATGGAATCGACAATTCCCGTCTTTGCCATAATGACAAAGTCCATTTCCAGAATTGCACGGTACAGCATTATGAGTTGTACAATGTCCACAAACGTCTTTTCCACAAAGTCCAGCTTCCTGTCTTGCCTGAAAAATTATATCTTCCGTATACTGATGCGAACCTTCTTCAACTAACGGTTCAATACCTTCTCCAACTAGACGCAATGCAGAAACACTTTTCAAGAAGTTACCATCCTTGTCGGTCATCGCAGATTGGGACCGCACCATGTTGTATTATTAGCCAATAGTCTGTTAATGAACTGTAATGACGTAATATTAGCATAATCAATTGCAATAAAATACAATAAAATATAACTCTTTTAATTCCAGGTTACATATTTTGTAACATAAGACAAGTGACAACTTAAATCAATATTGAACAGATGTGGGTTTATTAAAAATATTTTACTTGAAAATAGAGATTCAAAAGTCCGTTAAAAAGAATAATAAACTACATCTACTAGTAAGAAAATGTATGATTTTATGAAAAATTAAACTATTATAATTATGATATATATGGTTCATGGTTTTCATGCGGGGAACAATGAAAAAGTAATTTAAAACATACACTTTTATTTTGAACATTCTTGGTAACAATACGAATAAAAACTCTTAACCGCAGTTCATACTCATATTAATTGAAAAAAAAAATAATTTAAGCTTATCGGTGACTTATTGACCATACAATTTGATTTAAATCAAACAACAATATCAATGACATATCAGAAAGTTTGTCTTTGTTAGTGACGTAATATAACGTTCGTAAATTCAACGTCATTTTTCCTAGGGGCAGACAATTTGCAAACTCCAGTATCCATTATGCAAACTGTAATGTTCAAAAATCGAAGCTCCATGACTTTTTATGATGATTTTAATCAACGTTCAACCAATATATAATTAACCTGTTTAATTTTGAATAAAAATCATATCTTACAAACAAAGTAATACTATTTACTGATATTTTTACAAGCAATATGTCAAATAAGAAATGTTTCAACATACCTAAAATACATTGACGACAAACAATCAATAAACTAATCATATAATACCAAAATATGACAAAACTTTCAATAAAAAATATCAGCAAACTTCACACATTATGTATTGTATGGAATGGTTTAAAACACCAATCATTATTGAAAGTAAATATATATTTACAAACTTAATGGTAAGCCTTTCTTTTATAAACTTTGGTACTATCTAACCCTATCATCCAATGCAATTATTATATATTAGCATAAAACACAGGTGCTGTTGTTTATGACATCGAGTATGAATTGTTAGATAAAATATTTATTACACACAGCAAAATATTGGATTAGATTGGGGAAGAGGAATTGTTGCATCGATATATAATTATAAAATATTTTCTTGAATATTTGCTATGGACTTTTGATGAAATACGACGGTATTCCTGGAACCTTGTCATTCATTTGAAAAACATCTAAGTTCTAAATCATTAATTAATCACTGAATATTTCAATCATGTTTAAAGTTGGTTTTGTCAGACTATATTTGATTTTAGTATATGCTGTTTTGACATGTTCCTTTAGATGAAATTAAAAGATTTGTCTTTACTTGCCTGGTAAAATTACATTGGCAGAAACTGGATGTATTAAAATGCAAATTAATCATATACGAAAACACGTTTACAGTTATATAAGTGAATGTTGTGATTTCAAGTTATAAAAAGGCATTACCCAGAGGGAGTTATGTTCCACATTTTCTTAATTTTTCATGCTGAAATCATTCATAAATAACAAAGTTATAGCCAATTGTAGCAAAAACAAAGCAGAAGTATTAATTTGACCTTCAAGGTCAATGTCATTAGTGAGTAAAGGTCATAATCAATTTTGTCTACTGGAATGTTTTGTTGAAATCAAAATTGTGTCAAAGCATGAAACAATTTATTCACGTGATGAAAAAATGCCAATATAGACTTTTCTGGCAATGGGAGCGATTAACTTTAACACTGGTTGAACATTTTAGTCAAACATTATATATAAAATATTTCATAATAACCTTATATGAAATGTGTCATTAAAATCGTAAATGAAATGTGTCATTATAATCTTATATGAAATGTGTCATTATAATCCTATAAGAAATAAGACATTATAATCTCATAATAAAATGTGTCATTATAATATTATAATAAAATGTGTCATTATAATTATATATGAAATTTGTCAATATAATGAAATATATGAAATGTATAATTATAAAAGTATATGAAATGTGTCATTATAATCCTATGATAAAATGTTTCATTATAATCTTATATAAAATGTGTCATTATAATATTATATGAAATGTGTCATTTTCAATCTTATATGAAATGTGTCATTATAATTGGATAAAAAATGTGTCATTTTAATCTTAATATAAAATGTGTCATTATAATTTTATATGAAATGTGTCATTAATATTCTATATGGAATGTATCGTTATAATCCTATATGATATATGTCCTTATAATCCTATCTAAAATGTGTCATGATAATATTATAAAATGAAATGTGTCCTTTTAATCTTATATTAAATTTGTCATTATAATCTCATATAAAATATATCATTTAATTATCTTATGAAATGTGTCATTATAATCTTATATGAAATGTGTCTTGATAAATTTTATATCAATTGTGTCATTATAATCCTATATGAAATGTGCCATTATAATCCTATAATGAAAAGTGTCATTATACATTTATATGAAATGTATTATTATTATCTTTTAAGAAATGTGCCATTATGATTTTACAAGAAATGTATCATTATAGTCTTATGTGTGATTAAAATCCTATTATGAAATGTGTCATTATTATTTTAAATAAAATGTATCAATATTATCTAATATGAAATGTGTCATTTTAGTTTTAAAACAAATGTATAATTTTAGTCTTATATGAACTGGGTCACCAGAGTCTTATATGAAATGTGTCATTGTAGTCTTATAATAAAATGTGTCATCATAATCTTATACGAAATGTGTCATTATAATCCAATATGAAATATGTCATTATAGTCTTATAATAAAATATGTTATTATAATCTTATTTTTAATCTTATCTGAAATGTATCGTTTTAATCTTATATGAAATGTTTAATTATAATCTTATAAGAAACATGCCATTATAATATAGATAAATACAGAATCCCTAAAGAAAGCCCAACACGGCAAAATTGAAAATGTTGCAGGTTCGGTTTGATTGAGCCTGTTCATGGACGGTACTGGAAAGTGCAAGTTACCTTCCACGCCCCAAGCACCGGCTTAAGCAGAATTCAACATTTAAACATGAAATAGTAAAATTTTGAATTTAGAAATATCCGCAGTTGTGTTCACACGGCGGTTATCATGGAACCTTCAATGTGACACTTCCATGCCATTCCATGAAAAGCGGCGTATGGTCCCCAAGTAAAAGAATGCGTGTGCCATAAACGAGAAAACAATGGGCGGAACTAAATAAAATGGAATTTTTAAAGGGGATCTGAGGTTATGAAGCCTGCGTGTCACAGATAAGACGTCAAAAGGCAAATTTAAAAAGCAGGCAACATATCCTAAGGGTGATTCAACATTATTCAAGTAGGAATATTGGAACCACCAAACTAGAAAAAGCCGAAAAGTTGAAACTAAAAATACCACAAGCACAACAATAATGTCGTGCTGAACGATCTTCAAGGATCGAAAATATAACATCATTGATTAAATGTGCGGGGAGACGTTTTACAGCCGCCACACGGCACAAATAACACGGATGTGATCATAATATAGATAAATACAGAATCCCTAAAGAAAGCGCAACACGGCAAAATTGAAAATGTTGCAGGCTCGGTTTGATTGAGCCTGTTCATGGACGGTACTGGAAAGTACAAGTTACCGTCCACACCCCCTAGCACCGGCTTAAGCAGAATTCAACATTTAAACATGAAATAGTAAAATTTGGAATTTAGAAACATCCGCAGATGTGTTCACACGGCGGTTATCATGGAACCTTCAATGTGACCTTTCCGTGCCATTCCATGAAAAGCGGCGTATGGTCCCCAAGTATAAGAATGCGTGTGCCCTAAACGAGAAAACAATGGGCGGAACTAAATAAAATTCTATGTGAAATGTGTCATTATATTCCTTTATGAAATGTGTAATTATAATCTTATATGAAATGTATCATTATAATCAAATATAAAATGTGTCATTGTTATCTCATATGAAATGTGTTATTAAAATCTTTTTTATGAAATGTGTCATAATACTTCTAACATATAAAACTTGACTTTATAATCCTATAAGAAATGGGTCATTATAATCTAACATAAAGAGTGTCATTATAATCCTATATAAAATATGTCATCATAATCCTATTATAAATCTTTATGAAATGTTTCATTACAATCTTTTTTTAAATGCGTCATTTAATTCTTATATGAAATATATCATGATAATCTGATATGAAATGTGACAAAATATTCTTATATGTAATATGTAATTATAATTTAATATGAAATGTGTCATTATAATCCTATATGAAATGTGTCATAATTATCTTATACGAAATTTGTAATAATAATCTTACATGAAATATGTCATTATAATCTAATATGAAATGTGTCATTATACTTCTATATGAAATTTGACATTATAATCTTATAATAAAGTGTGTCATTATAATCTCAATAAATAAAATGTATCATTATAATCTGATATGAAATGTGTCATTAAAATCTAGTATGAAATGTGTCATTATAATCATTTAATAAAATGTGTCATTATAATTTAATATGAAATGTGTCATTATAATCTTATAATAAAATGTGTCATTATAATCCTATATGAAATGTATAATTATAACCGTATATCAAATGTGTCATTATAATCCTATAATAAAATGTTTCATTATATTCTTATATAAAATGTGTCATTAATATTCTATATGAAATGGATCATTATAATCCTATATGATATATGTCCTTAAAATCCTATCTGAAATGTGTCATGATAATATTATATGAAATGTGTCCTTTTAATCTAATATGAAATTTGTCATTATACTCTCATATAAAATCTATCATTAAATTCTGATATGAAGTGTGTCATTATAATTTTATATCAAATGTGTCATTATAATCCTATATAAAATGTATCGTTATAATTTTTAATGAAATATGTCATTATAATCTTACATTAAATGTGTCATTATAATCCTATAATGAAAAGTGTCATTATAATTTTATATGAAATGTGTTTAAATAAATTTATAT